CGTTATACGTTTTGGTCACACAAATGCATATGTGTACCAAATTTCAAAATAATCATTCCAGTAGGTTTGGAGAAAATGGGCTGTGACAAACGGACAGATGAGTATCGTATTTCGGAACAGAACAGAACTCTAACAACAAGAAATCGCTGATTTGCTCCTGATTTGTTGTTGACGGAAGTAGTACTACACAAAAATCCATTAATTGTAAGGCATGAATAATGTGGGTACAGAACCAGAACGTGGCTTTACTCTTTGCTTGCCTCTAAAGGAAAAGCATTTTTCCTCAAAGTGTTTGCTGCATATTTTTGAAAACTTTTTGGGAACCCAGTGTTCTCTCTTTAGCATTATAAGCCACTTCTGGTGTACTTCAATGTTTTGAGGAAATCTGAATCAACAATAACAATTAACATAAAAAAATGGGTGCCTCAACTACGCTATTAATTAAAAGAAATTTTCGTTTTAATGTAGACAAAAAATATTAACACTAATGCAATATTAATTAAATATAAAATACTAAAGTCCTCACGGTTAATTTCGAGTGCCAATGGAAATACTACCAAGCGAGCGCCGAGTGAGACAACAACAATAACAATGATTTCACATTTACGTTTTAGCTTATGTTAATTATTTTTTACTTGAACTATCATCGAAATGTTTTACGTATTAAAAACATTGACTTACAAATAAATGGACGACGGGTCTAATACAAAAACCACGAAAAAAATGTCGCAAGTCAACCTATTTAAACGTAGTGACATGTAAAGGAACATGTAAAGGAATATGAAAAAGCTAAAACGTTGAATTTAAATTGTATACACAGAAAAAAAGGATTTCTACTAATAAGAAAGAGCAATTTCTCAAAATATTTGCTAATTCTGAAAAAATATTTATTAAAAGTAATAAAATATTGTCACTACAAAAATACTGCTTATCTTTTTCTAATACAATTTTACTCTTAACTTTATTCTAACTTTGAGACAAATACGTTCACTTCAAGATTTTATTTCATTTCTAATCAATTAATTGGACATTACTTATATCAAGAAATTTTTACCTCTTACATCAAATTTAAATAATCTTAAATGAATTCAAAATTTCTTGGGTGTATTTTAAGAAAATATATTCTTAAACAAAAAAAGAAGTAGTTTTCTATTCAGATTAATATTCTAAATTCTAGAGTATATTCTTAAAGCAACATTTCGTTGCGTTTTCATAGTCAATCTTGTCGTGACATGTCGCCGAAGGCGCACGCGGTAACGATTACTTTTACTTGTGCTTGTAATCATAAAAATCATAAACAGTCATTTATCCAAAGAAACAATACGTAGTATCTCTAGTTTGTTAGGGTGTTCTTTATAGTCATAAT